TCAGTTTAATATGCCCTAGTCCCTGTCTTACTCAAGCTGTTAGGGAGTTCATCCATTTGCTATTTTCTCTCTTTTCTATTCTATACTGTAAACCTTGAAGCCTCCTAGATTTTACCAGGTATGAAAGCATCAGGCATAACACCCTGACCATTGGTTCCCCAGTGGTACACCTTTTTGCACATTTGGTTGTAAACCCCAACAGCTGGCTAATCCTGGAACCATCCCTGAGCAAGAACACCGGGCAGGGACTCAGGGGAGGAACATGGGGGCAGGGACAGTAGCAGGAGGCCGTGGAGAATCCCTGCTTCCTAGCTTGCTCTTCATGGCTTGCTTTGTTTGCTTTCTCATGGGACCTAGGACCTATAGCCCCAGGGTGGCACCCACCCACACAGTTAGTCATCAATCAAGAAAATGCACCACAGGCTTGCCCACAGGCCAACCTGCTGAGGGCATTTCCTCAACTGAAGTTCCCTCTTCCAAAATGACTCTGGCTTTTTTCCAAGCTGACATAAAATTCACCATCACAGACCTTTTGGTTCCTTTCATCCTCTGAGTTTGCATAAATGCATGCTCATTGACTCACACATACAGCAAGGTGACCCTCATGTCTTCCACACTCTTGCCATTTCTACATATAAATAGCTGTCACGGCTTTTCAGCAGATCACCCAGAAACTTCTCTGAAACTGCAGTCCATGTGTGGCACAGCTCAGTTTCCTAAAATAGTTCCTTCATGCGATTTTCTGCCCAAGCGCATGACATTTTGCCCAAATTCTTTCTCTTTTGTCAAAATGCAGTAACTAAGGGCCACTTGCTAAGGGCTTTCACGACAGTGTTTGTCTTACAGCTGGACTGTGATAACTGTGAATGGACAGTTACAGGGGATTAGAGGTATAGGGTGGATATGGATATTCAGTGATCCCCACTGCCTCCCTTCACTTACAGGTGAATACCGTGCACACCCCAACTTCCAAGATTAACACCATCTTCTTCGGCTGGAAGCTTTTCTTTGTCCTCTTTTTTTTCCTTGCAGCTCTTTCAAGTGTTCCTCCTGTCCCCTCCAACTCTCTCAGTCCACACTCAAAGTTTTTCTCTCACACTAGATTGTGTCTTAGTCATTTGTTCTAATTGCCTGTGCCTGAGGGCTCAGCAAAGCCAGAGAGGACATCAAGTTTACATGGCTTCATGATGATTGGGTCGCGTATTCATTTAACACATACTTGAAGTTTTATTCATGGAACTATGGCTACTTAATAACATGCATGACTGCAATCTCATTCATACTAGAAGTCTCCTGCTTTTAAAGTCCAAGTTTCCAAGCGCTGCATTAATTGGTAGAAAGTACCATTGTTTCTTACTTCCAGCACGTGGAGACCATGCACCCATTCATATGTTATCACAAAGCCAAACTGGCTTTGCTTGGACACTCTTGCATTTCTTTTTGTTTCGTCTTATATGCCTGAACCATTTTTGGGATGGGGCAGAGCTTTCAGTAATTAGAACAGTGAAGGCAGCGAAACCTAATACAGCTGGTTTGGAGCATGGGTGTTTCCACCTCTCCTTCCTTTGGAAACTCCCTAAACCAGAATTAGATGTTACAAACAGGACAGCACTATTGCCACACAGTGGATACAAATGCCATGATGGTTCCAAGAGAAACTTGTCAGACTCTAATACCTAACAGGGAAGGTACCAACAACAAAACAAAACATACAAAATACTAACACAATAATAGTTGTTCACCACAGTTGGAATACAGTCCTCCCTTCCTCTTCCTCTCCCCCTTTCCTTCCTGTTCCCTTTTCTTTCTTTCTTTCTTTCTTTCTTTCTTTCTTCCTTCCTTCCTTCCTTCCTTCCTTCCTTCCTTCCTTCCTTCCTTCCTTCCTTCCTTTCTTTCTTTCTTTCTTTCTTTCTTTCTTTCTTTCTTTCTTTCTTCCTTTTTGACACAGGATAATCCCCTGGAGCCTAGGCTGACCTAGAACTCACAATGTGCCAGTCTTTCTGCCCCAACCTTATGAGTGCTGGGATAATATGCTGGCATGAGCCACCATCCCCAACTTGGGTATAGTTTTTAAATTCAACATTAAATTTTTGATAGATTTTTTTCATTATTTATATAACTTCTGACTTTTTCTTTCAAAAATCATTTTATGTGTATGTATGTTTCTCCTGCATGTATATCTATGTATCACATTCCTGCAGTGTCCATGGAGAGCAGAAGAGAGCATCAGATTTCCTGGAACTGAGGTTACAAAATGTTGTGAGCCATTGTATTGGTGATGGAAGCTGAACCTGAGTCCTCTCCAAGAGCAGAAAGTGCTTTTAGCACTGAGCCATTTCTCCAACCCCCATAGAACTTCTGATATTTTTTTGAGTTTTTTTCCTGAAGCCAACTTAGAGTAGTAAGTAGTTCAAATTCAGTGATTTTGAAAGCAGAGCTCTCCAGCAGCAGCAGCAAGATCTAGGAATTTGTTAGGAATGCAAATTCTCAGGACCCACCTCAGACCTACGTAATGAATGAAAAACACAAGGGTCAGGTCCAATCGATCTTATCAGCATTTTAATACCCACTCCCTGACACACACACACACACATACACACACACACACACACACACACACACACCATTCTCATGGATACTAAAGTTTGAAACTGTTGTATTTTACTACTTCCTATTGTCCGTTAGGAATCTAAGGACCAGATGTGAGAGATCCTAAGTAGTCACATAAGTTATAATTACTTAGTTACTAAGTGCTTGTGAATGTGTTCATCGGTCATTTTTATTCTTTCTCTTTTAGAGACAAGGTCTTAATGGTAGTCAAGGCTAGCCTCCCACTCACTTTGTAGCTGAGGATTACCTTGAACTCCTCACCCTCTTGCCTCTATTTCCTACCTGCTAGGATTGTAGGCATGAGCCTCCCCATCCGGTTTGCTAGCATTTCATTATTTTTAGAACAAACTACTGAAATAGCCCATTGATAACTTATGTAAAACTGCACAATATGAAACCCAATTCTCAAATTTTCTATTATGTGACTTTAGTAAGTTTTGGAAGTAATCATCCTGTATTAAATCATCACAAAAGTCTTAGGCTCACCTTAATCACATACACTGCTTCAGTCATACATGTATGGAATTTCATTTTCTAAAATTCATATTAAACAAGAACTAGAAATTTTGTTTCAAAATTTGTGATTGGACCATTTACAGACTGTCTTCCAGACTGCATTTTATCTCACCAATTTTCAAAGCTATTCTCTGTGAAAATGGGGATTGCTTTCTGCAAAAATTTAAAAATATTTAGGCAATGCATATTTGAAATGTATAAATATATATTTTACTACCATATACTAGCATCAGATCTACAAGTGCCCAATTTCATGAGCTTTGGAAGCTGCACATCATTGGAAGCTCCCTATCATTGAAGACATGGCAGAGACCATCTTTATTGTCCCAGGAAATGTCCTTGTCCTCTTAGTTAGGGTTATTATTGCTGTCATGGAGCACCATCATCATTTTTAAATCTAATCCCTAAATATTCATTGGTCTGATTTCAAATGCTTCATAGTACATAGAAAAAAAAAAGTCACTTAGTTCCTTCGACTCCATTTTGCTTCCTTTCTTAAAGGAGTTAACTACAAATTGTCATGATGATAAGGATCATAAAATGCTAAACTTACTGTAATGTTTCCTCTAACTTTTATTAAGTTCTGTTATCTGCACAACATGAGCCTTTGGCTATGATCAAGTTATTTTTACCAACAATCACATGAGGACTAGTTCTGGTATGACAGCTCACTATCGATTTTTCAATGTAATTTTGGAGTATTTTGTATTGTTGCTTAGTTTCTTATGACTTTCAAGCTCACATAAGTAGAGAATACACAAATGCAGCCATTGGTGCTTGAAATCCCATTTTATGGTTTTGATTAGAGAATCAGAATCTGTGTCTTTAGATGAAATTAATTGCAAAATTACATTGCAAACAAAGCTACAGTGTTTTGTTTAGGTGGTTAGAACAATTACAATAGGCCCAGCCTCACAGTTTTAGAATTTAAAAGTCATTAGTTAGAGACCGGAGTTCCTGCTCTGGAGGAAGGGCAAGCGGTGGCTGGGGATACTGTTCCTCCTCTGGTATTTGCCTCTCAAGCCAGGAAGTGAATTTCTTAATCGAAACAGTTTGAGTTACCTGCATCCCAATAGTCGGTGCTCCAGCTTCCTACCTTTCGTTTGTGAAGTTCTGTAGGAAAGAGGGTGCTTAACTGAACGGTAGTAAAACCGGGTACTAACTCTGCCAGTGAATTTCCAGCCCCAATTCTGAAGTATTTGAATTGAAAACACTCTGAAAGAAGTGTCTGTCTCCCCTCTCCGTTTCCAAAAGGAGTAGTCTATCAGAACCTGAAAGAGAATTCGTGATAAAGTCCTCTCAGGAGGCCTCGAGCTTGACAAAGCTCATTCTCTTCTCTTCTTTAAAATCTTGATTATCAGATGCAGGCAGTCACCTGGTATTCGCCGGTCTCCCCTCCCACCCCTTGCCTGCTTTGTGCATCGACGCCCCCTCCCCCATACAAAGACAAAACACCTAGGCCTGCCATTCACCCATCCCCCGATAAGGATGGGAGAAACACCAGCCCTTTTCTTAGTTCCATCCAATCCTAGGAAAGTCCAGCCTTAGCTTGGACTCAGCAAACTCGCTCTACCTGCCTCCGCTTATCAGACTCTCCCCACCCATCTCTGCAGCCCGGAGCCTTCCGATCCCAGAGCCGGACAGCGTTAGAAGGGGGTGGACGCAGGAGAAGGCGGTGGCACAGCGGTACCTAGTGGCACCGCCAGGCCACGTCCAGAGTACGTGGCACTGGCCGTTGACAGAAGGGGAGGGGACTGGGTTTTCTCCTCCCTGGGAGGAGTGTCAAGGCATCCCAGAGGAGGGAGATTCCTTGAAAGGATCAGGGCGTGTATGTGGCGAGATCTTATCAGAGTTAAAGCAGACGGGCGCTGGCCTTATGTCTAGCTCTCTATTCTCCACCGCGAGGGAAGTCCGCTTTACCGGGTTAGCTGGAGAGACTGGATTGAGGGCCAGGCGGAGTGCTCTCCAGTCCGCATGCGCGGAGCCCCAACAGTCGGACTACAACTCCCAGAGGAGTCTCTGGGAGGCCGCCTTCCCGGCGCCATCTTGAAATCTGATGCTTCACCTCCCGGGCTTTGCGTCAGCCTGGAGCCGCCACTACAGTCCCGGAGCCCAGCCTGCCCGCCCGGGAGGACGCCGAGGACACGGCAGCGGCCCGCGGAGAGACAGCTGTGGGGACTCTGGCAGCGAGCTCGCGCAGCTTGTGCCCCGTCACTCAGCATCCCACCCCCTTGTGTCTCAGCGCCCGCCCCCTGCGCGAGGGGCGGGGCTGGTCTTGTGGTACCCAGAGCCTGCGCACGCTGAGGCGAGCCCCTGCCCGGTGAGGACCCAGGACTGGGCCATGCCAGCCCAAGACCCCCGAGGTGGGAAGAGGACCTCGTCGCAGAGCCGGTGAGCACCCCGCCCCGGTGGGCGTTGCAGAGAGGCTCGGCGCCCTCCCGGAGTGAAGATGAAAGAGGTTTGCAGGATCTGTGCCCGGGAGCTGTGTGGAAACCAGCGGCGCTGGATCTTCCACACCGCGTCCAAGCTCAACCTCCAGGTTCTGCTTTCGCACGTCCTAGGCAAAGATGTCTCTCGTGATGGCAAAGCCGAGTTTGCATGCAGCAAGTGTGCTTTCATGCTGGACCGCATCTATCGATTCGATACTGTTATTGCCAGGATCGAAGCCCTTTCAATTGAGCGCCTGCAGAAGCTGCTGCTGGAAAAGGATCGCCTCAAGTTCTGCATTGCCAGTATGTATCGGAAGAATAACGATGACTCTGGCGAGGAGATCAAGGCGGGGAGTGGGACCGTTGACATTTCCGGCTTGCCAGATGCGAGGTACTCTGCACTGCTCCAGGAAGACTTTGCCTACTCGGAGTTTGAGTGCTGGGTAGAAAACGAGGATCAGATACACGACTCACACAGCTGTCATGCTTCCGAAGGCCCCGGAAACCGACCCAGGAGATGCCGAGGTTGTGCGGCTTTGCGGGTTGCGGATTCCGACTATGAAGCCATTTGTAAGGTGCCTCGAAAAGTGTCCAGAAGTATTTCTTACGGCCCCTCTAGCAGGTGGTCTACCAGCATCTGCACCGAAGAACCGGCATTGTCAGAAGTCGGGCCACCAGACTTACCAAGCACAAAAGTTCCCCCCGATGGAGAAAGCATGGAGGAAGGGACACCGGGTTCCTCTGTGGAATCTTTGGATGCTAGTGTTCAGGCTAGTCCTCCACAACACAAAGATGAAGAAACGGAGAGGAGCGCGAAAGAACTTGTGAAGTGTGACTATTGGTCCGATGAACAGGCTCCACAGCAATTGTGTAACCACAAACTGGAGCTAGCTCTTAGCATGATTAAAGGTCTTGATTATAAGCCCATTCAGAGTCCCCCAGGGAGCAGGCTTCCTGTCCCGGTGAAATCCAGCCCACCTGGAGCCAAGCCTGGCCATCTCTTGACAGATGGAGTTAGTTCCAGTTTCCCTGACAGGCCTTTGAAACCCCTTTGCAGGACACCTGTGAGCTACCCTTTGGAGATTTCAGACATGCAGGAGCTGTGGGATGATCTCTATGACGAATATTTGCCGTTCGGGTTCCAGGTATACACTACAGTGCCTTTCCGATGTGCTGTCCACAGGTTTCCCGTGGTTTGCCTAGCTCCAGGGTAATAACGGTCTAGGGCTGTAAAGAATTTACCATTGAGCCCATTTTGGCTGTGCTTTTTGCTTGTGCCCCATTCAGTAAATGTGATTTACACTTAGTTAAATCACTTTTTTTTTTTTTTTTTTTTTTTTTTTTTT